TGTGAATGTACAATATATATGTAAACCGCTGTGTAAATTGACGGCGCTATATAGGTACCTGAAATGTATTTATTTATTTCAGGTACTTATAAAGCGCTGTCAATTTACACAGCGGTTTACACACACACACACACACATATATATATATATTGTACATTCACATCAGTCCCTAACCCTCAAGGGGTGTACAATCTAATCTACCTGAAATAATAATACCTATAAAATGAAAAGTCCTGGTTCGACTTGAACAACCCTCGGATATCCTTTGGGGCTATTGAGGAATATATTTAAATGAAAGTCAGCTTTATATATGCCCATATGTTTACATATATATGGAGGACCATGTTTTTAAGAAGTATTACTTTTCTGTTACAAGTCCCAGACTTTGATAGACAGTAAAGGGTTGTTTCTATGAATGTATCAATAAAAAAGGGCAGCACAGTGGCTTAACGGTTAGCACATCCACCTGGCAGTACTAGGGTCAGTGGTTCAAATCTCAACCATGGCACCACCTGCCTGCAGTTTGCATGTTCTCCCTGTGCCTGCGTGGGTTTCCTCCCACACGCCAAAGACATGCTGGTAGGTTAATTGGCTCCTGTCTAAATTGTCCCTAGTATGTGTATGTATGAATGTAAGTTAGGGACCTTAGATTGTACACCTCTTGAGGGTTAGGGACTGATGTGAATGTACAATATATATGTAAAGCACTGTGTAAATTGATGGCACTATGTAAGTACCTGAAATAAATACATAAATAAATAATAATAAAAAAAGTGAGCAGGGGGATATAACTATGTAGCTCACCCCTCACAGTGCATAGTTATTACCAGGTTTTCTGTCTTCCCAGACTTTGATGGACAGTAGGTACCTATGTAGCGCCGTCAATTTACTCGTCTAATTTAACAGACTAATGCCAATCAATGTAGTCAGCGACAATTCTATTTTTACAAACAGATACCTTACAGTAAGAAGACAGGTAGATACATGTTTGGTACAGATAACAAATACGCCATTATATTCTGTACAGTGAATACCTTAGTCAGCCAGCACTATACTATTGACCCTCAAATTTAATGGCTAATACTTAAGTCCTCCGCAAAGAAGTACTCCAGAAATAAAATCAATTTTACAGTGAGATAAAAGGTAATTGCATTTTGTTCCGGTCGTCAGGGAAACTACCTATAAACCGCTCTGTGAGCAGGTCAGGGAAACAAGCTGATGAGCACAGGACTTAGTTAATTATTAATAGCTGCTAAAAATGCAAGTGCTGCTCCAGAAAATGAATTATACAGTGCCGCCTTGTTGTCATATCATTCTCTTTATGTGGTTTTAGGCCTGTGGAAGGACTGCTGCACTTTTATATATCCAGCATTATCAGGAACTTTCAGACAGCACTGCAGCATTCTTTATTGCACTTTTTATTCTGACCAATACAAAGTCAGCTTTTTAAGAAAATACAAGATGCTAATATGTGTTTATATGAAAAAAGTTAGAGCGGAACTAAAGGCAAAACTTTGTTTTTTTTTTTACATTTTGGAGAGCTTGTGCGTTGGGAACGCGTGCAAAATTGCGTATGTTCCTGACATGCAGAGAAACATGGTGCTCTTTACCAAGTGTGTGTATCAATAATTCTTACAGTGTTAGGGCTCATGTACACTGCAGCTGATAAACTCACATTCAGGAGCTGTTGAATGTTTTTTTTTTTCAGCAGCCCCTGAACTCTCCCTAATGTTTTCCTATGTGTCCATGTACACTATGTCGTTTACAGTTATTTACAGGCAGTTGAGTTTACAGCAGGGGCCATTTGGGAACTCGGGCACTGCCCAAGGGCCCAGGGGCAGTAGGGGGCCCCATGAGATGCCCCTGGTACCTTTCATAGGCTTTTTTGGGTGTGATTTTAGTGTGGGCAAGGACACAGGGGAACCATCCCCTATTGCCCGGGGGCCCCATGAGTTGTCAGTCCGCCCCTGGTTTACAGTCTTTTTTTTGAACGCACCAAACTTGCATTCAGGAGTAGATTTTATCTTGCAAATGCGGTTAACCACGTTTATAAGCGTTTGTGTTTAGAAGCATTTGTTAACTGTTCCACATCCAGATGCTGTCCAGAGCCTTTTTTCATCATCAGAAATGCATGGAAAGCGTTTTTTCATGTATTCAAATGGACCCAGTACACCAGTGCAGTCAGATCCAGGTTTTGCGTGAAGGAAAAAATGGTAGAACGTGCTGCATTATGCTCATGATGGGATCCATAGTGAATACAAACAGAAAAGATAGGTAATCTCAACACATACTGCTCTCTCTGATTCTGCTCTATTTCTCTCAAAATGTCTGAAATAGTTAATTTTTTACTATTTTTCAGTGCATTCTGGGCATTTTGGAAGATCTCGAGGTTATCGTTTAAAAACGCTCCTAAAAGCACATAAACGCGCATAAACGTGGTATGCAAACGCGGCTAAACTGACATTTTTTTTAACCTACATTTTCCAGCAGTCAGCTTCCATCATTCAGAAGAGTTTTCCAAACACCCATTCTGGGCATTGGGAAGGTCTCTTGAGGTTTAGGCTTCATGTAAATGGGACACTTCTGAACAGTGGAAACTGACTGCTGGAAAATGTAGGTTAAAAACATCTGTTTGGCTGTGTTTGCATAATGCATTTATGTGCGTTTATGAGCGTTTGCGGTTAGAAGCGTTTTTTAAAGATAAGCACAGGAGAACCTCCCAAATGCCCAGAATGCACTGAAAAGTGGTAAATTATTAAGTATTTCAGACTCTTTCAGAGAAATACAGAGAGTAGAAGCAGAGACCGCAGTATGTGTTGAGATAATTAGGTGTGAGTTGTTCATTAACATTTCTTTTGTTTCCAAGGGTGGGATAGGTGTTTGGTGGAGTCATTAAAGAACCTGGCAGGGGGCCTTCATGAGGAATTTGAGGTGTGAATGGTCATTAACATATCTTTTGTTTCCAAGGGTGGGAGAGGTCTGAGGTGTGAATTGGTCATTACAATGTCTGACAAGCTTGGTAGGAACATCCTGTGTTCAGTGTTTTGTCCATCTGAATACCTTGAAAACGCTTTGCATGCATTTTTCATGATGAAAAAAGGCTCTGGACAGCATCGGGAACTGGAAGAGTTAAAAAAAAAATCAGACGCAAACGCTTATAAACGCGATTTGCTGCATTAGCCGAGTTTACAAGCATTTTGCGTTTGAAACGCTGATAAAATCTTTTCTTGAACGCAAGTTTTCTGCATTCAAAAAAACAACTGTAAACTCAACTGCCTGTAAATGACTGTAAACGACATAGTGTACATGGGTACATAGGAAAACATTAGGGTGAGTTCAGGGGCTGCTGAAAAAAAACCGCTGAAAACAGCTCCTAAACGCGAGTTTATCAGCTGCAGTGTACATGAGCCCTATCTTTTAAAAATGCTTCTAAATGCAAACGCGCATTAACGCAGTATGCAAATGAGGCTAAACTGACGTTTTTTAACCTAAATTTTCCAGCAGTCAGTGTCCATCGTTCATCGTTCAGAAGAGTTTTCCAAACGCCATGTACATGAGCCCTTAAACCCAAGAAGAAACATTTATTATATTGCAGCATACCAATTTCTTAGATGTGATGGCTGCATTTGTTTTCTTTTTTTAGGCTATTTTTTTTCACTTGATGATCTGGTCAGCAAGTCTGTTGTTTTTCAACAGATCAAGCTGTTCTGCAGATGTAGCAGTTAGAGGGTTGAGACCAGGGCGGACTGAAAACTCATGGGGCCCCCGGGCAATAGGGGATCATGGGGCCCGTGTCCTTGCCCAAACTCAAAAAAGCCTATGAAAAAGGTACCAGGGGCATCTCATGGGGCCCCCTACTGACCCCGGGCCTCGGGCAGTGCCCGAGTTTCCAAATGGCCAGTCCGCCCCTGGTTGAGACAAACCATTTATCTATGACAGGAGCGTTTATAGTGACCAGCTTTTATTTATTCATGTAAAATCTTTATCCCAAAAAGAAAAGAAAATGTTGCTGTAACTGATTATAAAGTGTGAGCTTTAGTTTGGCTTCAATTTGTTGGTGTATCTAAATCTGCTAATACATCTAACACTCCCCAACGCCCCAGACTGACAATGCTGCTATCCAAATGTGCCCCCTGTGCTCCTTCATCCAGAGTGTAGGCACTCTAACACAATAGCTGTGGTACTGGCTGGATCACCAGGTGAAAACAAATGATTGGTAGGCTGCAACAAATTACAATTTTGGGTTTAATACCGCTTTAATGGCACCCCCATGCATCAGCGAATGTGCATGTTTTTGTGTGCACAAAATGCAGTTTGCAGTAGCACAATTGTAAGAAAGGGTCCAGGACTTCTTTCCCTATGTTTTGGTGTGTAGGACAGCCCCTTGAAATGAATTGGCTATTCTACACGCAGCACAGAGGGTGATACCCTTTGTCAGTTTATTTATTTATTTTTTTGTTTACATCTGTGTTCCCTTGGGAAGATTTCCCTTTACTTCCTGTCCATTAGCCAAAAGAGGGAGTTAGAGGTACTGTATTTTTCACTCCATAAGACACACTCCCCCCCCCCCCCCCCCAAATGAGGGAAAATGTGCGTGCGTCTTAAAATGAATATGGAGCGGCTGGCCCAATATTCCCGCTGCCGTCATGTTAGAATACCGGGCCGGCCGCTCGGCTCTACTATGCAGAAGAACCTGCTCCTTGGTCCTACCTGTTCCTTGGTCCTACCTGTTCCTTGGTCCAGCAGTGTCCTGCTTTCACCGGCCGTCTTCTCTCTGCCCGGCACCAGCATCTTCAGTGTGGGGGCACCCGGCTGTGACAGCTTGCGGCATCACAGCTGGGTGCCCGCTGCGCATGTGTGATAAGCGCTGCACTTTGTGAATGGCCCCGTAGTCTATTGGGACATGTCACGTGTCCTACAAGACTACGTGGAGGACAACTCCGCAGAAGTGGGAGTGGGTACCTGTCAAATTCGGGTACCCGCCCCCTCCCCTGTGTCTGCAGTCTCTGGTCATCTCCCGTACCGTGTCCGCAGTCTCTGGTCATCTCCCGTACCGTGTCCGCAGTCTCCGGGGTCATCCCCCGTACCGCGTCCGCAGTTTCCGGTCATCTCCCGTACCGTGTCCGCAGTCTCCGGGGTCATCTCCCGTACCGTGTCCGCAGTCTCCGGGGTCATCGGCGTCCGCATCTCCGGGGTCATCCCCCGTACCGCGTCCGCAGTCTCCCCCCGTCATCCGCAGTCCCGTCATCTCCCGTACCGCGTCCGCAGTCTCCGGTCATCTCCCGTACCGCGCCCGCAGTCTCCGGTCATCTCCCGTACCGTGCCCGCAGTCTCCGGTCATCTCCCGTACCGCGTCCGCAGTCTCTGGTCATCTCCCGTACCGTGTCCGCAGTCTCTGGTCATCTTCTATACTATGCTAGCAGTCTCTGGTCATCTCTTGTACTATGTCAGCAGTCTCCGGTCATCTCCTGTACTGTGTCCGCAGTCTCTGGTCATCTCCTGTACGGTGTCCGCAGTCTTTGGTCATCTCCTGTACTGTCAGCAGTCTCTGGTCATCTGCTGTACTGTGTCCGCAGTCTCTGGTCATCTCCTGTACTGTGTCCGCTGTCTCTGGTCATCTCCTGTACTGTGTCTGCAGTCTCTGGTCATCTCCTGTACTGTGTCTGCAGTCTCTGGTCATCTCCTGTACTATGTCCGCAGTCTCTGGTCCATCTCCTGTACTATGTCCGCAGTCTCTGGTCATCTCTTGTACTGTGTCCGCAGTCTCTGGTCATCTCCTGTACTGTGTCCGCAGTCTCTGGTCATCTCCTGTACTGTGTCCGCAGTCTCTGGTCATCTCCTGTCCGCACTCTGTCCTGTACTGTCAGTCTCTGGTCATCTTCTGTACTATGTCTGCAGTCTCTGGTCATCTCCTGTACTATGTCTGCAGTCTCTGGTCATCTCCTGTACTATGCTAGCAGTCTCTGGTCATCTCCTGTACTATATCCGCAGTCTCTGGTCATCTCCTGTACTATGTCTGCAGTCTCTGGTCACCTCCTGTACTATGCTAGCAGTCTCTGGTCATCTCCTGTACTATATCCGTAGTCTCTGGTCATCTCCTGTACTGTGTCCGCAGTCTTTGGTCATTTCCCGTGCTATGTCCACAGTCTCTGGTCATTTCCTGTACTATTCCTGCAGTCCATTGGTTCAGAATATTTTTTTTCTTGTTTTCCTCCTCTAAAATCTAGGTGCTTCCTATGGTCAGGTGTGTCTTATGGAGAGAAAAATACGATAATACCTGTAAAGTGAGGGAATTCCTGGATTGTCACCAGAATTAGTGTCCCCATTGGAAAATTTCCCCTCTATTCCTGTTCTGAGAACAACCAAAACTTTGCTGGTATAATAGAGAGTAAAAAAAAACCCCCCAAACAACACAAAGAGAGAAGATGAATCTTCCTAACGGGGACACAGATAGCAATAAAAACCTGGCAGGTGTTCTAATCCATCTCCACTCTATCCAAAAAAAAAGTTATATCGTTAAATAAAAAAAAGTAGATTAATAAAAAGTGAATACACTGATTATAATGAGATTTTATGAACTTTGTATAGGATGAATGAATCAATCTGTTTTGACTAGGGACTTCACCAGCCCTTCTCTCCACCTCGTCCAAGCAGAGAACGCCTTTTATTCATTGACAAAATGCAAAGTATTCTCCTATGGGCACCTGTGCCCAATTGCCGACCTCTTGTGTTCAGTAAGCAGCATTGCATGGGGCATGGAGGCTGGTGGTTATCATTGGATTCTAGCTGTGTCTCCTACAGTGATTTCCAACTTTCACAGGGATCCCGCACGTGTCCATCAGGCATGCTTATTTTACACTGTTCCAAGTTAAACCAAGGTACCTATGTAATAACATCCATACCTAAACTTCAGGTCCAGGACCTGACTGTGCTGCCAAACAGGGGGGGCCTGGATCACAAGACCTGCTGAACAGATTTACAGATCCGTTGCCTAGTAGCCTGTTCACATATTTGTAAGTGAATGCTTTGTTTTGCTGCTTCCCTCTTCTACTGCTGCTAGCTATGGTGCACTGTTCCCAAGGGACAATTAATAATAATAATAATAATAATAATAATTACTCTTGAATTGTACCTTTTTGATGTCTAATCATATTTGATTCTGTATTGACAAATTTATTTCAATAAAATTTGTTTGGAATAAAAAAAAAAAAATAATATAATATCTAAAAATAATAGTAATTATAAATAGTATAATACTAATAAATAGACATATTACTAATATAAAATCTAATAATAGTATTAATTATATAAAATAATCTAAAATATAATAATAATAAAAAATATACAACATCTACAAATATTAATAATAAACAATATAATGCTAATAAATAGATATATTAATAATACAACATTTTAATAGTCCTAATAATAAAAAATCTAAAATAATAAAATAATAATAATAATAATAATGAAATATAAAAATTTCAAATAATAAATAATTCTAATGGATATATTAAATGTAAAATTTTATTATGATTATTAATAATAATTATAATATGAATAATATAAAATCTAATAATATGTAAAAACTGGAAATAATAGTAATAATAAATAAAATAATACTAATACATAGACATATTAAAAATAAAAACTAATTAATAATATTCTAAATAGGAATAATATAAACTCTAAAAATAATAATACATATACATAATATAATACTAATAAAAAATATATTAATAATATAACATCTAAAACTAAACATAATAATACATAAGTAAAATGATAGTAATAAAACATTATAAAAATGTAAAATCTAAAAACAATAAAATAAATAATAATATAAAATCTAAACATATTATTAAATATAAATAATACTAATAAAAAGATATAGCAATAATAATTATTATATTGTTTTATTAGTATTATTTAATATTCTTTTTGGGTTTTATATTATATATAATATGAAAGTAAATAATAAGCAAATATAAAAAATTTATACAAATATATAATAATAAAAGGACAATACAAGACACCTATTTTATTTTGAGACACGCTGCCCAACCAGTACAAGTCCCTGAAAAGTATGGTAGATTATGAACAAACTATATTCAAAGTGATACAAAGCAGAAAAGTGATAACGTGCAGACTTGTAATTGGGAAGAAAGCAGAACTGATGTCATGGCAGAAACGCTCAGACTATGCCTGTGCCCACCTTGGTGCTGGGATCCTCCTTGCACTTGCACTGTGTCCATGCTAATCCTCCCCTTGTCTCCCCCACACAGCATGTGAAAGCCCAGGCTGGAGGGAGGTGTGCGCATGCGCGGCGAGCCTGCCTCCTCCTGTTACAAAGACAGATAACAGAGGGAGAGGTGCACGCTCTATTGTGCGGAGGATGCTGGACTTTCTTCACTAGTTCTCCTAACTTTGTACCTTCATCAACGGATCTCCCAACACACAGGTTCTTCTCTGGGGGGATTGTCCTGGATCCAGTGGTAGCCAGTGAGATCAGAACAAGTGCCTGATCTGGGATGATTGGAGGTGAGTGGATCCTGGATTGGGTCGTAGTGATCTGTGGGATCATCATGTCACACTGATGACAGCCTTCCTGTCCGAAGGGCTCTGTATTGTTCATGGGACTTTACAAGCTGTGAAATGACTTGCTGGCTGCTGGTGTTCCCATCATGGGGGAGGCTGTGCTGTACACTGCAGTAGGCTGGATGGGTATTATTGCCCCATCACAGTGCAGGCAGCTGGGGGAATTACACGGATCTATAGGAGACACCTGGATCCCAGACATCATAGTGGCAGCAGGTGACACAGCCATGGAGAGCAGGGGGGGGGGGGGGCTGGAGTTTACTTGTGCTGTTTGCTTCGAGGATCTATGTGTTTGTACAACTGGAGGAAACCATTCACCCCACTACTTCTCAGACTACATCACCTACAGCTGGCTGGCCTACAAACAACACTTGTCTTTCCTAGACATCATAAAATGCATGCTTTCCAGTTAGGGGGAAAAAAAATATATAGAAAAAAATATATATATCTATATATATATATATATATATATATATAGATATGTGTATGTTTTTGTTACATTTTAAATATAAGTGTTATGTTGTAAAAGGCTACATAAACTGTTGGTGCTATATAAATCCTGAATAATAATAATTTATTATTATTATACAGGATTTATATAGCGCCAACAGTTTGCTCAGCGCTTTACAATATAACGGGAGACAATACAGCAACAATACAGTTCAATACAAGAGGGAAAGGAGGGCCCTGCTCCTTGGAGCTTACAATCTAAGAGGGAGGGAATCATTTATTATTATTATTATTATTATGTGATCAGTTTTCAATTTCCATCCTTCTTAAGAATTCAAAAATAAAGAAGTCAGTTAAGTAATTACTTTACCAGGAGATCAGTGCTGACCTTTTCTGTGTTTATTAAGCCTCTCCTAATGTTGACTGAACGATTGATATGTCAGTGACCTGTCTACCCCTAAGCTCCAAGGTTCCGCAAAGTTTGGCTCATCTTCTTTTAGATGTTATAAGAACACAAGTCTGTCAACTAAAATATTTCTTCTTATTAACTTATGCTATTTACAACATAGGTCTGATGTCAGTTTTTCATGTTAATTTAATTTCAGGTACTTATATAGTGCCGTCAATTTACGCAGCACTTTACATATATATTGTATGTTCACATCAGTCCCTAACCCTCAAGGGGTGTACAATCTAAGGTCACTAACTCGCATTCATACACAGTAGGGCCAATTTTTAGACAGGAACTAATTAACCTACCAGCATGTCTTTGGAATGTGGGAGGAAACCAGAGTACCTAGAGGAAACCCACACAAGCACAGGGAGAACTTGCAAACTCCAGGCAGGTGGTGCCATGGTTGGGATTTGAACCAATGACCCTAGTACTGCCTGGTGGAAGTGCTAACCACTTAGCCACTGTGCTGCCATTTTTTATTGATACATTCATAGAAACAACCCTTTACTGTCCATCCAAGTCTGCTAACCTGTTCTGCCCTGTATCAGCTTATTAAATGATGTGTACATTGATGATGCCGTTATCAGTATCTATAATAAATAAATAATACAATAACTAACTTACACTTTCCTTGGGTCTGATGTTCATTTTTTCCTGTTCCATTTTACATGAGCTCATTAACTTAAACTATCTGTAACTTGGGTATAATGTCCATTTCTTCATATTCCACACTGTCAGTTTCTTCAAAATAAGCTGAAATAGGGCAAATAACTTAGACATTTGTCCCAAGTTACAAGTTGTATATGTTTAATAAACTGAAATATGGCAGAATATGAAGATACTGGCAGTGTGGAATATGAAGAAATGGACATTATACCCAAATTACAAATAGTGTAAGTTAATGAGCATAAATATCACCCAAACCGTACTCTCCGCTCCTCACACAACTTCCTGCTCTCTAGCTCCCTTGTATCCTCCTCCCATGCTCATCTCCAAGACTTCTCCAGAGCTTCCTCCATCCTCTGGAACTCTCGACCCCAATTTATCAGACTATCGCCTACTCTGCTCACTTTTAGGCGA